ATGTCGAATGGTAGGTTTTTTTTTGGAAGGATATCTCATGTAATATCTTCTTTCCTTTCTTAGTTATGAAATGACACTTAATACGATCAACATATTGAGAGACAGTGATCGTGCTCTTGTCAGCCAATAAAGACGTAATAGGTCTAGGTAAATCCTGTACCTTCATTCCTAGATGCAACTTGCGAATTGCCTTCTCTGAGATAGAAGACTAACATGACACCTACTCGCGTGTGCGCAATCTCAATATCCGCGATCATCAACTCACCCTTAGACTTAGCTTTCTTCGCCCATGAACTCTGTAGTGCTATGAGTTCATTGTCGATCTCATCAAGGGAATTGTCCAGTGAGACAAAACAAAGTACAGTGTCGGGGTGTTCTGGACGACGAGCGGAAGAAGAGCCATCCTTTGCCTTAGGAGTTGAAGAGGTGGAAGGGGTTATATGCGCCTTACCTTTGTTTTCGTCTAATCCCTTCGACTCAGTAGGAGCAGATGCTACTCCTACTGGCTGCTCGCTTTTGGGTTACGAATAAGTGGGCACCAAGCTATCACGTGCTCTACGGTGCCACACTTGAGGCACTGGCGATTGTCCATTTTGGACTGCTACTCCTCTCGTGTCATATTCATTTTCTCCCAAGGTCTCCCGAACACAATGCCAGGATGCTCGGGAAACGAGCGTGGTCTCCTCTTCTTCTTCCATTGGGTCTGGCCTCCCTTGTTGGCCATTACGACAGTGACGTCACCCTTCCCAGTCTCATTGCCGCCACTAGCTACTCCTCCCTCAAACTCGTCGAGGGGTAACTTCCCTACGGTCTCATCGTCAAATACCACAAGCATGCGGTCCTAACGCTTTTGTCGCCAAAGGACCCGCTTCCCGTACCCACCAACTAGTCATGTCTTAACCACGGATGAATACGTCCCCTTTACCTGTGCAGTCATTTGCTTCTTTTGGAGCGCGAGGTCACGAAACTGTCGGTAGTTATACTTACCGGATTTGGCCTCAGCCACAAAATGTCATCGAATGGGTTTAGGCAAAGCTCGCGAGAAGGTGTAAAGGACTTGGTTGTCGTGCAGGTTCAATCCAGGTACCTGCAGCAACCGATCAACTTCACGAGATAGCGCATCTACAGAGGTCCAACGTTTCTGCCCTATGGTGGTGAGCTCATCGAAAGACTTGTCGGTCGTCGTCTTATCCAACAATCTCTCCTTGATCTTCTGGAGAAATTCTCGGAGAGTCAGAGTCTTTGTCCACTCCCCGATGTCCTCGAACCCAGCAGCGTTGACCTCGAAAAATACCCATTCCTTGGCGGTTTCACCAAGACAAGAAGTCGAAAAAGCCACTTGGTTTTCCGGCTTTATCGGTGCAGTCCCACAGTATGTCTGGATCTCAGCGATCCAGAGCAACAAGTGTTCGCCCCTCTTTCCATTGTAGGTAAAAGGAAGTTTTATCTGAACCTTTTTTTTCTTCTTTGGTGTCTCTACCTCTTTGGCCGTTTTCTCCTTTTTGGCGGGTACTTCCTTCTTCTCGGCCGGTTCCTCGGATTCTTTCTTCAAGGGTCCGCGTTTCTCTTGCGTTACCTTCCGCATTGCATCTTTCATAAGTTTCTCTTGGGGTGGTTTCTTTTCTACTTTCCCCTTCTTCTCCTCTGCAAAGCTCACCTTGTCCTTACCTGTCATCATTCTCATCATAGTTTCTAATGAGATAGTGTTAGAGTCTATCTTCTTCTCAAGATGAATAAGATAAGCCATGATCGATTGCAATACAGATGACAAATCAGTCTCAACTTCCTCGAAGTGAAATCGTTCTCTCATTTCTTCCAACATCTTTTCCTGCTATTCTTTTTCTTCTTTCCTCCTTCGGTATTCTTCAATCGTTCGTTTTTTGTCTGCGAGAGATTGTTTTAATTGTTTGACATTCTCCTCCATTATCTCTATGGACAATTCCTTTCTTTCCTCTCTTTCCTCCTCCTCCTCTTCTTTTTTGCCTATCTTATCCATTTGCTCGGCGACATACTGATCAAGGGCTAACCGCTCTTGCTTTATGAAGTCCCCGACCCTCCGGCCGGTTTCCATCATCTCAACATCACTTTCAGCAGCCTCAAGCTCATTCTCTGCAGCTCGCAGGTTGAACTGTCCGTGAACGTACTATTCAGCTGCTGGGTCGGCACCATGTATCTCACCAAGCAATTGACGAAGAAGGCCTTTTAGAGTTTGCCTTCTTGCGTCAATCTGCCCACGAGTTTTCAATTCTCCCTCTTCGGTATCAGCGTAGACAATGAAAGCGATGGGAAAGAAGAGAAACGGTATGAACTGCGTTAGGATGGAGGCATGCAGACATTTCTAGAGAGAGTTCATTTTCCTAAACGTGTAGATGCCGCACGCGTTAGGATGGAGGCATGCAGACATTTCCAGAGAGAGTTCTCCGAGTATGGATTTCCCCAAACCATCGTATAAGACAGAGATGTTCAGTTCACCGGTCTACAATGGCAGAAGTTGATGGGAGTCTATTGAACCAAGTTGACCATGTCGTCAGACAGACATCCTAAAACGAAAAGCCAAATTGAGCAAATGAATCGTCTTTGCCAACAACTTTTGCGAATGTACGTTCGTCCTGATCAGATTGATTGGGATGAGAACTTGCCTAAAATTCGTAGTGCTTATAATAACAATATACACATTGTTACAGGTAGAACGCCTAACGCACTGCATAAAGGATGGAAGCCTAGGTGTCCCATTGATGCATTAACAAGGGACCAGATTCACCCCTAGGTGCCCGTGAATTCGCGGTTTTGTATGAAGAAAACATTAAGAAGGTGAAAGAAAACATACAGAAAGCCCAACTGCAAATAACTGAACAAGCTAATAAACATCGTCGTCCTTCACAATTCCAAGAAGGGGACTTTGTCGAGGTTAAGTCCAAAGAGTTTTCCTTAGAAGAACATGTGTCGCAAAAACTGCTACCTGTCTACTATGGGCCTTGGGAATTTCTCAAAGTAATTGGAGGTGAAGATGGACCTTCCTATCGTATAGATATACCTCCACACCTCAAGACCTGTCTCTTATACACATCTAGATGTGTATAAGAGACAGCTATGGATGGAAGCCTAGGTGTCCCATTGATGCATTAACAAGGGACCAGATTCAGAGGCTACCCCTAGGTGCCCGTGAATTCGCGGTTTTGTATGAAGAAAACATTAAGAAGGTGAAAGAAAACATACAGAAAGCCCAACTGCAAATAACTGAACAAGCTAATAAACATCGTCGTCCTTCACAATTCCAAGAAGGGGACTTTGTCGAGGTTAAGTCTAAAGAGTTTTCCTTAGAAGAACATGTGTCTCAAAAATTGCTACCTGTCTACTATGGGCCTCGGGAAGTTCTCAAAGTAATTGGAAGTGAAGATGGACCTTTCTATCGTATAGATATACCTCCACACCTCAGGACATACCCTATCTTCCATGTGTCTAAGCTGCTACCTTATGTAGAAAGTGATAATTTTCCAAAAATGCCATCTATGATTCCACCTTCTATGAATGAAGGCTATGAAGTTCATAAAATATTGGAACATGGCTATTTCTCTACATGTGGCAGAGGACGACCTCAGAAGCGGTACAAGGTAACGTTCTCCCAACCTCCATCTGAAGCCAGATGGTTTAGTAGGAAAGAACTCCTACCTACTACTCCTGATATTGTTGTTGCATATGAACGTGGGTTAACTGAGAATTGATATATTTTTTGCGATGGAACTCGAAAACTGAGCCGACAGGAATGCAATAACCCATGCCATATGTCTTGTGGAAAAACTAAGGGCCAACTCGGCCGCCCTCAGCCCAGGCCGAAATAGGGGCAAGAGACCCCACACGAGGACTCGGGGCCTGGACGTGCAACAGTTAGCTTTGGTCAATTGTCGGGATCCCAACAGTGAAAGTCCAAAGGTACCTAGCCCAGTCCGCTGGTCAAGCACACACACTTGTTTGTATGCAGGTACCCAGACAGCATCAGGTCCAAGGGAGAAGCTTGCAACTGCACCATCTGGGCCCTCAGCTGTGAGTCAATCTGGACGACTGTGGGAAAAGCACCCGAGGCCGAACAGCCTCAACCATTGCTACTTAAGGCTGGCCTCGAGTGAGTCAAGCATTCAGTCTTGCTATGCTGCTTTGACGCAGGCTCAGCTTTGACTAGACGCTGGCTTCATCCTAGCGCGACGCTGGCTACAAGCTAGCTATGCTCAGGCGTTGTGGACGACGGCACGAGGTGGAGGCAGCATGCTGGCGCTTTCTGCATTGTGCGCTAGGTTTGCTGAGGTGGCATGCTGATGTGGTGCTACCTATGGTCTGCATTGCATGCTGATATGGTCTACATTGTATGCTGATGTGGCGCTACCTCTGGTCTACATTGCATGCTGATGTGGTGCTGTCTCTGGTTTACAGTGCATGCTGATGTGGCGCTGGCATTGGTCTTCATTGATGATGTGGCATATGCCACCTATCTCGACTGCTGACGTGGCACTGTCCACACTGTCTACATGAGGTGACTGGTTGCGTGGAGGAGGAAGATCGGGATCTGTGGATGAAGGAGGTCGGGTACTCACCTGAGGTTGACGTCGTCACTGGAATCGATTATGTCTTCATGGTCTTCACGAGATCAAGTGCCAGGTGGCACAATTGTGTGTGATCAGGAATATACTTGTTATCATTGTTGACRCGGAGAGGGAAGAAGCCCGGAGAAGGAGAGGGATCTGAAGGGATTGTTTGATCTTTCATCTTCTCCTTTGTCTGTTCCCCCTCCACTCTCTTCTTGTGATGGTAATGAGTTACTGTTTGAGATATCACTTCACGATTTGGAGACTTTGCAGATAATGAGACTACCGATGTTTGACGACTTCTGAGTATCTGCCAGACAGGGTTCATTACACTTCGAAAGAACACTTATTTACAAAGAGCTTGTAATATCAAACGAGGAACTTTAATAGGAAGGCATGGATAACAATACCCACAGAACATACCTTTATTGGATCTAATGCACTGCCCAGGATCTCCAGCAAGTCGTCATCTCCAACAAAATAGAACCGAGGAAAGATCGCACGCTGTGCCTCCAGATACTCCGCAAGAGACTTCTGAATCGTGGTCAGCAGCCCCAGAAGCCGATCCAGTGACCGCGCCAGGTCAGGGATATTGATCACATCCAAGATCAGTGGAGATCGACAAACCATTTTCATAACCGTCAAGAACTCGCCATCAACTGCCTTGAACCGCGAGAACTCTGTGGGTAACTGATGGCGAATCTCTACACCTCCTCCATCAAAAACTGACTCTAGATAGACCCATCGCTGTTGCACGTGTACCCAGACTTCTGCCACAGTCAAAGTCTTGCCTAATTTCTCCTCCCACATGTGTACCTCATTTTCAAATGTTACGAAGTGTGGGGATGCTTTCATTGAGCTTATGAACCCCATGTGTTCCGACACACGACCGAACAGGTCCTCCCACCCTCTAATGAGCATGCACTTGTTCTGGTAGTTAACTAACTCGAGCTTGTACATCTGCCAGCAATCCCTGAGCCGAGAAAGATACTCTTCCAGAGCTGCCTCCCCCTGTGCCACTCCCAGTACGTCCTTGATCAGGCCTTCGCCGCTGCTAAGATTTGCATCCCACATGACCCCAAGTGTGAGTTCGGAAAGCCCAACCCGTGAAAGCCCTAGATGGCCAAGCAAACTTCGCCAGTGCCGATCACGCATAGAATCAGACTTCAGGTCAGACAATATTCCGGTGACGGCCAAGTAGCCTCGGACTTTGCTCTGATAAGTGGAGAATGCTTTGTACTGCCTGGCTTTAGACGGAAATCGCCGCATGTCCTGCAGAAGCGTCTCAAGCACCTCCTTCAAACTCTTCGGTGCCACACTCAGCCACAGCATTCCCCTCAGTTCCTCCACTTTGTCCCATACTTTCTCTAGCTCTGACCAAACACCACTCAAGTCCTCAATCTCCTGGACAAGCATGGCCAATTGCTGGTGAAGATCTTTGGTGTTTCCATCTGGGATATCAAGGGCCTCGTTTGCCCCCTCAAGCAGCTCCAGTTCTGTGTGCAACGACCGTACTTGCCTCGCAAATGCAGAGAGTGATTCCAAAGCCTTCTTTGGCAGTTGATCGCCCTGCACGGGGCGATCAGACTTCCATTCCTCCAGCAGGTTCTCCACCTTCAGCTCTGTAACCTTGCTCCTCGCCAGGATTTCCCTCCTCAAAGACGGGAGCTCATTCCTGACCTGTAACTCTTTCTTAACCAGGATCTGCTGGACTGCATTCCACTCTCCTTCTACCATCTCACAATGTTTCCATCCCATGGGGAGTGCGAAACGGTATTGATCCAGGAGTGTCTGGCCCTGCTGTAGCTTCTCCATCTCAAGACTCCAGCCCTTCAGCTGCCGTCGCAACCCATGCACATACGTCACAAACTCCACTGTCGGTGCCTGTCCACCCCCTACAATGGTGTTCTCTAGCTGATCCCTGTGCTTGGTCATCACCAAACAGAAATGCTCAATTGCAGGGCCAAGCTTCCTGGAGAACTTCACCAGCAGCTCCCTCTGCCATGTATCGTACTGGTATTGAAGGCTTGATTGCAAATGGCCACAATCAACCACAACAGGGCCGAACCTTTGGTGTGCGTCAAAGGCCTCGAGTGTTGTCTTCACCTGATGCGCACTCAAAAGACGCTCTTTCCAGAACTCAAGCTCATCTGATGGCTCCATATCAAGGCGATTGCTCTCTGTGTCAAGCAATGCTTGGTACTGATGCCAAGTGTTGGTGTATTGCCGAACATGGTTGATGTGCACTAAGATGATAGAGTATGCCCTCTGCAAAACCTCTGGAGGTATTTTTTCTCGAAGCAGCCAATAAGTATCACCTTGATCAGCAACACATTTAGAATCACCATGCTCCTCATCATTCGAAGAAAAGCTCCCAACAACTCGACCTGACAGTCTGTTCCCATTTCGAACTGTGACCCTTCGCACATGGCACACCGCATTTATGTGCGAATTCAGGTGGTCAATCCACCACTCTTGCACTACCTCCAATGGCGGGTCCAGCACAACCTCACGATCCTTCATCCTCATCAAGATTGGGTAATCCTCCACCATCATCCGCTCCTCCACCTCATCAAACTGTCTTGATGCTGCCTCTCTGATGAGAACATCCCCACCAAGCCACAGAGACATTTCTGTTCCAACATCAATTCCATTTTGCAACTGCTCCAGTTCTGTGCTATCCAGCCCCTGCAAAAAAAAAAAATATCAACAGCAATGTGGGTAAAGCTGCTACACTTCTCAACTTCATGAATTTCATCTTTCCCCATTTCTTTTCTTTCCTTTTTCGTTTTCATTTTTTTCCCCTTAAAAATAGGTCCTTATGCTCCTGGCTCCATATCCATTCTGGTGAGCGTCAGTCCGGTTCGTATTCCACCGGCAAGTCAGATTGAAGTATTACATCATGAACACCCTCACGCTTCCTTCCGTCTGGCCGAAGGATTCCTGTCCAGCATTGATTGCTCTCATACCGGAAGATTGACTGTCAGCTTGCCTTTCATCTACCTTTCCTCTCAGGTTCACTGTCTGAAACTGCCAAATTTCCCTGAAGAAACAAGAAAGACAAGGCATCTTGCAATCTGAGACTTTGCCCTTGAAGACTATGTAAGCTGTGGAAGGACTTGTCCATCAGTTGGCTGACATCTCAACCTTCTCCGCCCCACTTCCCAATTGTGCCAGTCCTTCCACCGAACCCTTTATCTCTGCCACTTTGCCACCTGCCAGCCAAATCTTAGTGAATTGTGCTCTCCACTGTTGGTCCGTGTCATCTGGCAAAGAAAGTCTTGTTTTATGCGACTTGCATAAAATCTCCGCCTGAATCAAAGTCCTTGTCTCCGCCCACATCTTCTCCCTTGGAGTTGAAAGACCCTTGATGGTTCTGCAACACCTTTCCTTCCAGATGGACCACAGCGTTACCCTCCTGATCATTCCAAACCAGGTCCTCTCTGTCTTGTGGAATTGGGCAGGGATGTTAGTCCATAGAAGGAGTTGGATGGGGTGTTCTGGAAGGGAAGAGGGAATTCCAGAGATCTGATGCCCTAGCCCAGTACTCCATCGCTTCTCTACAGTGTATTGGGCAGTGAAGCATATCTTCTGGTTCACTGTCCAAACAGATTCCATGATACATGCTCAGTTGAGGAATGTATATGGAGCCAAGGATCCGCAAAGTGATGAAAAGGACTCAAACGGACAACGCAGCGTCAGCAAAGCATCAACAAGCAATGTACATCTAGATACATATGAAAATAGCACAATGTAGCACAGCAGATGACTCAAAGATATGACCTGACCTGTCAGATACTGACACGACATCCCATCACACACCACACATGTGAGAGGAGGAGGAGGGACCACATACATGGAAGAAAGGTCCCTCCTTGCACACGCACATGGGGGAGATACCATGGATGAGAGATGGGGGGAGAGGCGAGACGAAAATGGAGGTGAGGGAGAAGACCAAGATCGGGATAGCGGTGTCCAAAAATAGTCTCCCTGCCGAATGTCCAATCAATGTCTGCCACAGAAAATGTTGAATCAGATCCTGGGCGTCAGGGCGAGACGAAAAAGAAGAAGAACAAGAAGAAGAAGATGTCGTCCTCCTCGCTATCTCACCAGCAGGTAACTGCCGCCATGTACTAACTGCCATCGTGGTCCCTGTGCAGGTCGCCGGCGTGGAGCGCGGCTATGGCGCCAGGTAAGTACCGCCGCTGCAGGTATGGTCTCCGCCTCACCTCCTACCTACACCTCTACCTCTACAGAGCAGCGCTGTGTCACGCCACTCCAACAGCGTGTCGCCCAACAAGTGAGCTACTCGAACTGTCTCCTGCCCTGGCCTTGGCCCAGCTATATGTAGCGCTGGGCCGACCGGTCTGCCTGTGTGTCTCTGGTCCTATGCCCAAATCGTGGGCCTACTGGGTCTGGGTCCCGACCGGACGTCCAGACCCTGCACCTAGCCCAGAGCGGCCTGCCTACTGGTGAACCCGCCCCAAGGCGCAATGTTGCATACCGTAATGGTGCAGACCAGAACAAGAACCGACCTCTCTCACATAGTGTACAAGAAGCGCAGCGGAAGGCTAAAATACCAATGATCAGATCAATCAATGTCGCCATGTAGACCAAACATACATCATCATCGCAAGGTGTGAAGGGGCCTGGCGCTACACACAGGAAGAATGCGCCAGGCCCAGATCATACACAGACGAAGAGGAGGGGATCAGACGAAAAGGAGGGAGAAGATGAGAATGTCATCAACACGAATGTCGTTGATATCGATCCCAAATAGTCCACCGCCAATGTCTCCGTCCCAAAGTCGAGTCTGTATCCAAATGTCGTCAACATCCCAAAGTCACAA